CCCCAAAACCCCAAAACCCCAAAACCCCTTAAAAACGGAATTTATTGAATAATTAAGCAAGAATAAGATCCTTCAGCTCATTAGTTTCGATCTTTTCGAGAATATCTTCTGAGCCATATCCGTTCAATATCTCTTTTATCAAGGCTTTTGAGAGCTTCTCCAGAAGAGCAGGATTAAGGTTATTCTTCTTTCAGTAGTTTAGCATAATCTTGAATACCCTGAAACTATTCTTTGTATATTCAGTATTGCAATCATTAGCAACAGACACCAGTAAGCTATCAATAATAGTATTGTTTGCTTTTGTAGCTCCAAGCAGCATGTATTTCTTTATTTTACAGATAAGGAACAGTCTTGTCGTCTTGATGTCAATAAATTCTTGCTCACTCAGCTGTGATTTCCTCGAGCTCGGGTTTAGGATAGTCTTTATTGCTGAAGAGCTGTACTTCAGAATGTCATTAAACAAAGCGTCTAAACTTTTAGGACTCCAGTTGATAAAGCCATTCTTAAAATCAGAAAGCTCTTCTGATAGATTCGCCTCGTTCTTGCATGAAACAGACTCCTTATGGATTGCTGACAAGAGAATACCCTTTTTGATGGTGAATGGAAATACCTTTGTGGAATCTGTAGTCTTGAGTTTAATGACCTCTTTGAGAGGTTTGATTTCTGTCCTACCGATTATGGCACAGGAATTTTTGGGAAGGTACTCCTGAGGTAACTTGGTCAACTTGTGATCGATCAGCCTCATCTCTTTAATCGCCTCTGTGTTCTGATTGTTGATCTTATGGCAGATTATCTTTGCTAATGAAGTTTCTCTATGCTCGAGAGGACATTGTTTGTTAATCTCTCTGAGGATTTCCTTCGTACTAGGATGCACCAAGCTGGCATCGGTATCAATAGGAATTCCAAGAGTGACCAGACTTGGCTCATCATTCTGAGCAAAGATAGTTGTGGTAGAGAGATTTTCATCATTTTTAAATCTATTAGAAATAATGCAAAGCTTACCTAACACTTTTGGATTTCTGATCAGCTTTATGGTTTAACAGTGCACTTTTATTGTAGACATTCTTTTTAATCATTTGAGCCTTGATCACTTCCAGAGCTTCCATTATTATAGTCTTTGGTTCCTTCTGTTTATAGACCTCTCATTCAATCAAGTCAATAACATCTGATTGATTCAGAAAATCATGCCGCTTTAGAGTATAGATTTTTAGTTTCTTAAATAAAGAAGTCCAAGTAAGATTAGTCTGCTTCATTGAGGAGTTGTCAACAAATTCAGCTATCTTCTTCAGAAGGTCTCTGTAGCGGGCATATTTTACCAGACGAATCAAGCAATGGCACAGAGAGTTTTTGACTGGAGTATCTTCCTCTTCTTCCTTGAACCAGTTGAATAAAATCTCTAAGGAGTTGTACTCAGACAGGATCTCAATTACATCTCTCCTATTGGTAAGATTTATCATCATTCCAATGACATACTTCTCTTCAGGTTTATCTGCTTTGCTGATAAACGTCATGATGTGTCTAACATTATGAGGAGCAGAGATCCCTCCCATGATTGAGGTGAAACTCTCTAACATCTTTGTTACATCCTTGATCTCTCTTTTCTTAATCTGTAAAAACCCAGGCTTCTGGGTATTCTTTTTCTTATTAAGCTTTGGCTTTTCAGGAATTGGCACTGGAAAAGTACTTTTGAGGACACTGGACAATTTCATCCTAAAAATTGAACCTAAAGACTTTTCCTCCTTCTGAGGCAAAGTCTTTTGTTTCTGAATATTTAGGCAAATTTCTTCACTATCATCACTTTCTTCAGTAGAAACATCATGGACAGGATTTTCCGTCTCTACAAGACCAATGGGTCTTTCTTTGGACATATTAAAATGCGATAAAAACCGTGAAGTTTCTCTTAAATTAAGCTTTATGTCTTAAGATTTTAGATGCTTAATCATGCTATGGCATTTTCTCAATTATTGATAAAATTCTTCAAGATGGCTCAATGTTTCAAATCAATATTAAAATCCCTAAATGGGGTTTTGGGGTTTTGGGGTTTTGGGG